TTTCTTTTTTAAGTAGTAAAGTTATTTCTGCTGCATCTAGCAAATAAATCTGCCAATTTAAAAAGTTGAAAATGCACTAAATTTTACCTTAAGTTTCATTTTTGAATCAAATATGCTGAATGTCAAATTGCTATTTTAAGAAACAGAATGTTGCTTTACTAGGATTTGAGCCACTTAAAACACAAAGTCAGTTTCTATTTCGCATAACCACTATTTTGCTGTAGGAAAGCGTGTGAATTCTGTACTTTTAGTTGGTTAAAGAGAGGTTTGATAGCTTCTAATTTAGTTAGCAAACACCCAGAGGAGATGATTGTCTCATCAAGGTACCAATATGTGCTTAATCGGATACCATAAAACTTCTAGAAAGCTTTTGTTGAAGTTTGTTGAAAGTTTAATATTCTGTTACCCCAGTTGAAGGAAGTTACTTTTGAGCTTCTTTTTTATTGTGGATTTTTGGTTTTTGAAATGTTTTGATTTAAAGTAATTTCAGACTGATTGTTTGACTATTTTTGCACTGTGATTTTTGATGACAGAAAAATGCACTTGAGCGAAAGAACAGAATATTTCTGATTTCTTGCTAAACTGAATTACATTTTTGTGTAACCAAGTAATTTGGACTGTTTCTTATTCTTTTTAAACTAAAATGACATACCAAGTCATTGTGATTTAATCACTTTGTTGAATCATTGAATTGTGTTACCCCACGAGCACTTATGTTGTGAATTTGTAGACTTTGTTTCAGATGCATGGAACCAAGTTTTATGTTGGAAACACTGTCACTTTTCAAGAAAAAAAAATAGTTTGTTTATATGTGTAAACAAGTCCTTTGTTAGTCTTGTAAGTTCAAACTGAAGTGTATTAACAATGGCACTGTGTTCTCCAATAAAACATTGAATGAAAGATCAAGCCGTCAACATGTCTTACTTTTTGAAAATCAATTATTATCTGATCAGGCAGACTGTTTTATTTAATGCAGTGATGAGATGTTTTGCGTCACGGTGGCACAGTGCGTAGCATGTTCACGTTGCAGTTTGATGTCCCTTACCGTGTTCGTATGGGTGAATTGGGTAAAATAAATTGTTTGTGGTGTATGTGTGTGAATGAGTGCGTATGGTTGTTTCCCAGTGATGGGTTGCAGCTTGAAGGGTATCCACTACGTAAAGCATGCTGGATAAGTTGGCGGTTCATTCCATTGTGGTGACACCAGATTAATAAAGGGACTAAGCCGAAAAGAAAGTGAATGGATGGTGAGATTTTGTGTTACATTAGCTCACAGTATCTGTTTCTTTAAACTGGGCTAAAATAAGATTTGACACATTTTACTTTTGACATGATTTCTTAAAGACTTAAACTCTGGATTTTGCATGTTGCAAAATTTTAAACGTCAATGCCAAGAATAGTATAATAACCAACTCTGATTGGCCGTTCTGAGATGATATGTGCTTATAAATATTTTGACATCAAAGTTCTAAATCCAGCTTGATCCGGGCTTTGACGTCACTTGTCATAAATCTGTCTTGTTTTGCAATGTTGGGAATTTGAGCTGATTATGCAGTCAGGAAGACTTATCTGGACCTGTGGAACTTCTGTTTTTGTGCATGTAAGTTTCTCAAATTAGATAATAAAAGCTTGAGACCAACTGGACCAAAATGTCATTAAACATTGTTTGATTTTACTCAGCCTGCTTAAAAACCCAATAATACATTCACCAGTAGTGATATATGTATATTTGCATATTATTTTTCATTAGTACTCCGAATCTCAGCTTCATGGGAGTGACGATGACAAAACCAAAGCTTGTCATCTATAAGTGTTTAGAAGTACTGCATCAGATGATTTTATGGGCCAGAAAACAGCAAATATTATTGGATTGTGTAGCACCCCAGGGAATAGGAGTTGGTTTTCATGACTGGATAAAATTCACAAATGCTCTAAGCAAATTTGGTAATGTTATAACTTAATTGACACAGGCCTTATAACTTAAAATACACGTCAAGCTTGATAACAATACAACAAAACATATCGACAAAACAAGACAACTGAGTATCGGAGGAAAAGTGTCATCAAAGGAATCATAAAAAAAAAAAAACATGTTAAGTGTAAAAATTATAATGGAAAATGACAGGCAATTCAGCACGAGCCACAGAACTGGGAGAAACTGGGTTATTTAATTGCTGGGTAATGTATTGTTCCTATACTATGGATGTCAATGGCTGCTTTTTTCTAACATCCTTCAAAATAACTTTAAAATTCATAAATGTTTAGAAATCAGTGTGGATATAGTGGAGTGAACGATCCCTTTAAGTGCATAAAGTTTTTTCAGCAAAAAATCATTAAATTACATTGTTTGTGTGCCTCAATGTAATTTACATGGTTTCTGAGCCTGATGGACACACATTACTGCTGATAAATAAGGAATTCAAGTTAGAACAACTCAAAATTGACCACAAACTCCGCAAGATCTAATACTGAAAAAGAAACGCTTGCCGCTGACTTTCTGGTTGATCAATTTAGCGTTCATGTTAATGGGATTGTGTTAAAGTGCTCTAAGTAGGCCAATCACAACAGATCAGACAAATATAGAAAGTAATTTTATTTCAAAACTCTCTGAGAATTAAACTGAGTTGAAGCTGCTTAAACAGAAATTGCAATCTTTACAGCAAAATAAAGGCCCTGAAAGTGATCACTTTAAAAACTGTAGCTTTCAGTCATATCCAGATCGAAATGACTTTATTAATATATGGAATAAATATAGATAATTCCTCGATTGTAAGTCTATTTGGACAAAAGCATCTGCTAAATGTAAATGTAATAAGCCTATTAGCTAGTAAATTCAAAAAGTGTTTGTGTTTGTATTTACAGAACCATATCCACCCTGTAAAATGAGGATAACATTAATGATAATAAATGTACCTTTAGTTCTACAGACAACGAAAAACATTTTGCTGATTATTTTATTTGAACAACTTAGAAAGAAAAAATGTTTTAATTGGATCTTGAAATTATGTGCAACACACAGAAATGCATTCCCTGTTAAATATTTATATTAACAAATCCAGCTTCTTGTTTCAAACTACTTGAACAGTAGAAACAGCACATAAGTGCAAAAAAGGACTTAAGAAATCCTTGTGGTTTCACGTGTGAGGTAATAAACACAGCAGCAACACATGTTTGTGCTTGTTTTCTCCATCACCCCACTTTAAACTTCCATGTTCATTTGTGCTCGAGGTTACAAATATTCTTCATGTCATTATGAGTCACTGCTGTGGCAGCACACATTTGCCTTTCCTTTATGCAATCAGAAAAAAAGGAAACGAAAGAGAGAAAGTATGTGTGTGTTTTCTGATATTTAATAGACTTGGAAAATCCCACAGCTTAAAAAAGACATACTTACAGATCATGACAGACATTGTCTAAAACAAGCAGAATTCAATAGTGCAAGCTTACTGACAAAATAAATAAGTTGAATGTATAACAAAAATATAACAATTCATAAAGCTAGACTTGACTGTATGCATGTAATATACAGTTGAAGTCAGAACTATTAGCCCCCCTTTGATTTTTAAACATTTCCCAAACAATGTTTAGCAGAGCAAGGAAATTTTCACAGTATGTCTGATAATATTTTTTCTTCTGGAGAAAGTCTTATTTGTTTTATTTTGGCTAAAAAAAGCTGTATAAAAGCAGTTTTTATTTTAAAAAAATCATTTTAAGGACAAAATTATTAGCCTCTTTAAGCTATAAATTTTTCGACTGTCTACAGAACAAACCATTGCTATACAATAACTTGCCTAATTACCCTAACCTGCCTAGTTCACCTAAATAAACTAGTTAAGCATTTAAACGTCACTTTAAGCTGTATAGAAGTGTCTTGAAAAATATCTAGTCAAATATAATGTACTGTCATCATGGCAACGATAAAATAAATCAGTTATTAGAAAGGAGTTATTAAAACTATTATGTTTAGAAATGTGTTGAAAAAAGTATTTTCTCCGTTAAACAGCAATTGGAGAAAAAATAAACAGGGGGGGCTAATAATTCTGACTTAAACTGTACAAACCATTCTCCACAGAATAAATAGAGTGCATCTTCATAATTCATTCTTAATTTTGATAGGTTAAAGCTATGAAACTTTTATGAAAACGATCTTTTGTGCATGTACATTGTAACTGCTTTTAAGTGTAAAGGAAACACATAAAGATCAAGAGTGAAAGAGTATAAAGATATATGTGCTCAACAAACAAGGCTATTGCCTCCTAAAAAATATTAAAATAAAAATTTCTGACCTGCAGAAATGAGTAGTCAACATTTTCACTGCCATAACTGTTTTCAAATTATAAATTCACAACGAGTATAATGCCAGCTTAAGGTCTTCATCGGCTGCCGATGAACAACATCTACTTTGACCCACCATCAAACTCTTCTGCTGGTTTATGTTAATAAGAATAACTTATTGTCAAGACAAAACATTGACTTAAAGGGACAGTTCATCCTGCCATGCTTCACTCATACACTAGTTGTTTCAAACTTGTTTAAATTTCTTTCTTCTGTTAAACACAAAGAAAATATATGGATCAATGTTGGGAAAAAATCGCTTTAAAGGGCACCTATGATGAAAATCATCTTTTGTAGCTGTTTGGAGAAAACTGTGTGCAGGTATAGTGTCAACTGTCATAATGGAGTGATAAACACAAGTCTCTTTTTTAAACGTTCCTGACATTAAAATAGGACTTAAATCCCAGCGATTTTGAGGCCCACCGCAACGTGACATAGTAAAGCGTATATTTTTTGCAAATAAACTTTGATTAGGGGAGAAGCAGCTCATTTGCATTTAAAGCCACAGACTAAAACAGCTCCTGTACTCAGACACCACAATGAGCGGATTCTACATTATATAATAAATTATATGATGGATATCTTGAGCTGAAACTTTACAGACACATTCTGGAGACACCCAAGGCTTATCTTACATCTTGTAAAAGGAGTAAAATAGGTGTCCTTCAACTTCCAGAGTACTTTTTTATCTTACCATGGATGCCAATTTTTTTTTTCCATCATTCTTAAGAATATCTTCTTGTGTGTCCAAGAGAAGAAAGAAACTCAAACAAGTTTACAACCACTTGAGCGTGAGTATATGGTTTGAACTTTTCAAACGTCATAATAAAGTTGCAAAATTAATCTCTTACATCGTATCTGTGTCCTAATGTAATGTCCTAATTCTTACCAATTTCTGGCCCTGATGGACAAACATTATTAATGCTTATATATCAATAAAGACTAGAGCTGAATATTCGATATGTTAATGAAAGTATTCAATCAATTTTGGATCTTTACAATAGGGACACTAAAATCACTGAACTTGATCATTAAAGTCCAGAACCGGAAGCTGCGAACGCTATTTTTTTGTATTGTGACGCGGTTCCATACCGAAGCAGAATATTAAATGAGTAAGCAGTGGGCGTGGCTTGTTTTTTCTACTGTGAGCTGAATGAATATAAGGTAGGCATTTCATTCAGAAAGATCGAGAATGGGGTTTGGCGAGAGTTATTACAACCTAACAGACTCCTCCTGCTCACTATTTTCGTTTGTTGTCAAAGCTGACCATTGGAGCAGCGTGATTTAATATTTTAGCCACGGCCATTTGCTAAGATAATTGTAATCTGATGATTTAACGGAAAACAAACAGGAAGTGCATTCTTAGATTTCAATTAAAGATTAAAAGGGCAAACTATTAACTTTTTCTTAATCACATGCACAGGTGAAATGTTCACCACACAACTAGCAATGTGAGCTATAACAACATCATGGTTAGTTTTGATTTCTTTGGCACTTTAATGGTAGCTTTAGTCATATCCAGTTTGAATGGACTTATTACAGTACCCTACTTTAATTATCTTGA